TCCAAAAGGTAAATTTTTACCAAGCTTTACAAACCAACTTTTTGAATCAACATTTCACAGGTCTTTTGCTTTACACAACCACTGATGGTTTCTTAAAAGGACATTACATTAACCATACATGTCCCACACTGATACAGGCAGACAACACACATTCCCAAAATGCAAACTAAAATTGCAAGGTATCCCCAGATCTCAAGCTCTTAGGAACAAAAAGATAGAAATTGTGCAGGACGACATCTAGCAACAACAAACAAAGGTGCATTCAAGAACAAAAACACAAGTTGCTGGAAAAGCTCAGCAGGTCTGGCAGCATCTGTGAAGAAAAATCAGAGTTAACGTTTTGGGTCTGGTGACCCTTCCTCAGAACTGATGGTGGCTGGGAAAACATTGGTTTATATGCAGAAAATAGGGAGGGTGATGGGGTAGGTAGTAAACAATAGGATAGAGCCCAAAGAGAGAGAAGAGCAGTTGGATAGACAGAGGAGTTGATAACAATCAGGAGAGTGAATAGCTGTTAATGGAGACCGTTAGTGATTAATGGCAGACTATGTGATAACAAGGCCTGGTGTGTGGGGTAGGGAGCTAGGACATGGGAGAGTTTAGGCCCTAAAATTGTTTAATTCGATGTTGAGTCCAGAGGGCTGTAGGGTCCCCAAGCGGAAAATGAGGTGTTGTTCTTCCAGCTTGCATTGAGCTTCGCTGGAACACTGCAGCAAGCCTGAGACACAGATGTTTGCCAGGGAACAGGATGGTGTGTTAAAGCAGCAGGCAACAGGTAGTTCAGGGTCTTTTTTGTGAGCAGAACGTAGATGTTCTGCGAAGTGATCACCCAGTCTAGGCTTCATTTCCCCAATGTAGAGGAGACCACATTGGGAGCAGCGAATGCAGTAGACTAGATTCTGGGAAGTGCAGGTGAAGTGTTGCTTCACCTGGAAGGTATGTTTGGGCCCTTGGATACTGGGGAGGGAGGAGGTAAATGGGCAGGTGTTGCACCTTCGCTGGTTACAGGGGAAGGTGCCGTAGGGCTGTGGGGTGGTGTTGGGGGTGAAGGAAGTGTGGACCAGGGTGTCCCGGAAGGAATGGTCCCTGCGGAAGGCGGACAAGGCAGGGAGGGGAATATGTGTCTGGTGGTGGCATCTCACTGGAGGTGACAGAAATGGTGTCTGATGAACTTCTGGATGTGGATGCTGGTGGGATGGTAAATAAGGATAAGGAGAGCCCTATTGCTGTTGCAGGAGGGAAGGGAGGGGGTGAGGGTCAAAATGTGGGAGATGGGTCGGACCCGGTCAAGGGCCCTGTCGACAACAGCATTCAAACCAGACCACAAAGAGTTAACACTTCTACCAGGTTCAGCGCACTTCTACAGCACAGAAACCTGGCCTCCTGTTCTCTCTGTTTTCCAGTTATAACTGTCCCCTGTCCTTTCGCGGGCCCTAACTGTACTAACATATTAGCTACAGAAATGAATCCAGAGTCTGCTGCATTCCACCCAGAAGGGTTGCAGACCATCAGGTTGCCTTGCCCTTCCCTTCTCTAACACATTTTCCCGAATCCCATCCTCGTCGCCAAAACGTCTCGGATCACAGAGTGGTATCCAAGTGGTTCTTTTCGGATTCGGTTAAATGTAGTTAAGAGAAGGTTCGACAACAGCGATTAGCTTAAATACGAATATGTATTGTGTAATAATAAAAGACGAGAAAATAAAGGAACAATTATTAATTAAATAAAAAGAATGAAAAAGAGAGGAAAAAACAAGAAACCTCACGCCCTTTTGCCCATCAGGAACCCCTCGATTGATGGCTGGTCTGGAGGCTGAGGTTGTTCCTGCAACTGTTTGTGATCCCAGTCCGAGGTGAAGTCCAGAGACTTGGAACAAAACTCTCTTTCATACGGTGTAACAAACAGCCAGGCACAGAAAAACAACAACAGAGAAACATATTGAATGTGCCGGCTTGGGCACATACAGGAATGTTCACAGGACTCACTCAAGGTCATGCAGCTGTGGAATATCATCAACAAGTTTAGCCCTTCAGCCCATCCTATACAGTTGTACAAAGCATCTGTGCCTATCTGACACGTCACAATCAGTTGATGTTCTCCTGCAGTCAGCATTCTAAAAATCACAAACTGTTTATCATCTTTAAATCTGACATTGCCAACCTGTTCACCGGTGTAGAGTGGTTTGTCAGAATCATTGGCTGACATCACTCCAGCAACCAGCTTCTAGGCTTGCTTTACTTCTTTCTAGCTGAACCCTTGTGAGTAAACTCATTCAGCATCTCACAGTTAATACACCGCCTTCTCTATGCTGGGCATGCTTCCTGTTCTTTTCTATGGTGTCCATCACATCATTTATATCCTGCCCTCTAACCCTGACCTTTTTCTTGGAATTTTTCAAATATTTCTTCGCTGACAACTCAAACTGTGCCTTCAATACCGTCAAGATCTGTCTTGTCTGGCTCTACACGGTGGGGTCTAAGATGTAATCCAGTTTATAGCACTCAAACACAGGTAATAGATTTATTATTGTTATTTGTTCAGCCTTCTTGCTCAACTCTGTAATGGGTCACATTTTTACGACTGAGAAATTCTGTCTCTTATCGTCTTCAGTCTGATAGCACTAGGACTAGGAATTTGACATCCGTCCTAACACACCCAATGATTCATGGTTACCATCTGCTGTTCTATTTCTTCCCCTGCTGCTTTTCTCAGCTGAGAATCCACACAGTTGTAGCCAGACACTTGTTTTAATGGCGACTGCTTCTTAAGCGAAAAGCAAGATGACCGATGACGAGCCACACTCTTTCTTCAAAGAACCGGAGTCAGTTCTAAGTGAGGCTGGTGTCAAATCTTTCCCTCCCCACCCTTATCTGCTTTCCGGAGGGACCACTCTCTCCGTGACTCCCTTGTCCGCTCCACACTCCCCTCCAGCCCCACCACACCTGGCACTTTTCCCTGCAACCGCAGGAAGTGCTACACCTACCCCCATACCTCCTCCCTCAGCCCCATCCCAGGCCCCAAGAAGACTTTCCACATCAAGCAGATGTTCACCTGCACATCTGCCAATGTGGTATACTGCATCCGCTGTACCCGGTGTGGCTTCCTCTACATCGGGGAAACCAAGCGGAGGCTCGGGGACCGCTTTGCAGAACACCTACGCTCGGTTCGCAATAAACAACTGCACCTCCCAGTCGCGAACCGTTTCAACTCCCCCTCCCATTCCTCAGACGACATGTCCATCCTGGGCCTCCTGCAGTGCCACAACGATGCCACCCGAAGGTTGCAGGAACAGCAACTCATATTCCGCTTGGGAACCCTGCAGCCCAATGGTATCAATGTGGATTTCACAAGCTTCAAAATCTCCCCTCCCCCTACCACATCCCAAAACCAGTCCAGCTCGTCCCTGCCTCCCTAACCTGTTCTTCCTCCCACCTATCCCCTCCTCCCACCTCAAGCCCCACCCCCATCTCCTACCGACCAACCTCATCCCGCCCCTTTGACCTGTCAGTCCTCCCTGGACTGACCTATCCCCTCCCTAACTCCCCACCTACACTCACCTTTACTGGCTCCATCCCTGCCTCTTCGACCTGTTTGTTTCCTCTCCACCTATCCTCTCCTCTATCCCTCTTCTATCCGCCTCCCACTCTCTCCCTATTTATATCAGAACCCCCTTCCCCTCCCCCTTTTCTGATGAAGGGTCTAGGCCCGAAACGTCAGCCTTTCTGCTCCTATGATGCTGCTTGGCCTGCTGTGTTCATCCAGCCCTGCACCTTGTGTTGAATTTACAGGGGCACTTGCTGAACGTGAAAAACCAGTGGTAGACTCAGTGAGGGACACGATAGGGCCGTGTGGGATTTGCCGGGGGGTCAGGGTGTGTGTGTGCTGTAAACCAAACAGTTTTAAATCCAAGATAACAAGGTGTAGAGCTGGATGAATCTCAGATTCTCCAGCATCTGCTGTTCCTACTATCTCTGAAACAGTTTTAAATCCAAGCACTGTGGCCAGCTCTCTGAGTCTCGAAACAATTTAATCCAGGAATTTGGAAATTTGAGAAGAGCTCAGTGCGGAAGGCAGAGTTAATTAGATGTAGACAGCAGTGAGAGCTTATTAAAGTCCCCGAAAAAGGACTGTGATTTAACCAGTGTTAGAGCCAACACAACACAACGTTGGGGTGGGGGAAAAGGACAAAAGATGCCAGACAACACCAGGGATGGAGGAAATCCTGAAGGGACATGCTTGAAAGCAGGGGGACCGGGTTTCCATGGCAACTCGGTTCCTTGGTAGACTGGGAAAGAAACAAAAATGTTCAAAGTAAACAGTAGCACTTGGAAATGAATGTACTGGTCATACTGGAGATTCATTTTGAACCTTACAAAATAAACTGGGCCAGAATCCTCATTCACCAGTTTTACTAATCCTTCCTTATTCGTGGGGACCCAGCTCCCAACAAACTGTCTTCTCCTGGGGACCTGATTCCCTGGAGGAGTTGAGTTTAGTGGGGACAGGCTTACCCTGGGGTCACGGTTTCATGGGGACTGGGTTACTCTGGGGATTGGATTTCCCAGGAGACTGAGTTATTCTGGGGACAGGGTTTCCATGGGGACAGAGTTTCATAGGGACTGGGTTATCCTAGGGACGGGGTTTCACTGGGGGTGGGGTTTCATAGGGACTTGATTTTCCTGGGGTCAGGATCTCCCTGGGGACGGAGTTTCCATTGGGACAGGGTTTCCCTGGGGACAGAATTTCCCTGGGGTCAGGGTTTCCCTGGGGATGGAGTTTCCATGGGGTCAGGGTTTCCCTG